TCCAAGAAGCCGCGCCGCAGTCGGACCATCTTCACCGAGATCCAGCTCATGGGCCTGGAGAAGAAATTCCAGAAGCAGAAGTACCTCTCCACCCCTGACAGGTAGGTTGGTTGCTCACACCAGCAATAGGGATGAGCAAAAGGGATGCTCCAGCTGTTCCACAGTGAACATTCCCTGGCTGGGGGTGCTGCCTCTTGCTCCACCGAGTTGCCTCTGCCATTGGCTGCGGCCATGGCATGTAACCTGATTCACATTCAAGGCTGCTTCTCCTGGGATCAAAGGTGACACAAATAGATCATATCAGTGGAAATGTCAGATTATACACATGCTTGGGAGCAGTTCTCCAGGCTCAGAGATCTCCTCAGAGAAGAAGGATCTCTGCCTTTCCAACTCCTGCTGCACACTTGAAAAACGATGGAGCCTGTCTCCCCCTGGGATCTGCTGGCTCGTGTCTGTGTGTTCATGGTATCTTCAGCTGCTCCTGAGCTGGCTTTTATCCAGCACCTTGGGCAGCAATTCAGTGGGATGTTGGTGGCCTGTTCATAAGTTTGGAAGGCAGAGCCTGCAGTTGTAAGCCTGCCTTGCAAAGGCACAGGCAAGTTCTTAGGCACTGCTTGGTACCACATGGGCAAACCAAACTAAGAGAGATTTTAGCTTTTTTAAGGGCTTTGAATCCTGCTCTGGAAATTTAAATTATGGAAAAATGATCCATCAAATTCCTAGGAAGTTTGTAAACCTGGAGAAGGTTTGAAAGGTATCAGGCCCTACACTCCACAGAGGGCAGTGTCCCAATATTTAAATTGATTCTGAAGATGGCATTTTCTGCTCCTACTGCCTGTCACCAAATTGCTGCAGGCAAAAATTCCTGGTCGTAGCCAACTTGCCTCATGGAGTTTCAGAGTTCCTGCTATGCCTGCACTGACTCCTCACAGCTTCACATCACCAGATGGTTGACACTTCGCTGAGGCACTCAAGGCTGGTAATTAATAATCTCATATGACTGTTCCTTGGCTTCATTGAGGACGATGAGCAATTCCTGCCCATGTACCACTTCCCCTGTGTTTGTTTCCTTGGGTTTCCAGGCAGTGCTGGTTGCACTGAGGTATGTGGCAAGAGATGGCAGCTGGTTGCAAGTGAACCAGGTGTTACCAGGCATGAGCACTAAGGCACAAAGGGTTAGTTAAGCCAAGCTTCTCTCTGTCAACTCACGGCTGAAAATCTGGCAAAGCAGTGAATTGTGATCTGTGTTCACTTCTGCAGCTTTTGGCCTGGATAGAAGATTGTAGCCGTGGGAGGGCACCTGAAACCCCTGGTTTATCATCAGGGTAATAACTCTGACATGTTCTACTCTTAACAGTAATGGTGTCTTAGATCAATGGCTTCAGATGTGATGTAGTGGCAGAACAAGCCTGCAGGTCCAGAGTGAATCCGGAGTGGGAGGGAAGCATGAATCCTTGAGTGTGAGGTGGAGCACAGAGAGCTGGGGTGGGGTATGTGGGTGTTTACAAATGTAAATCTGGTTGCCCAAGGAGCCCAGGTGTAACAAAGCTTTCATTATGAAAAACTTGGCCTTGATAAATGTGTTTGCCCATCCAAAGGCAAGGAGATATTTGCCAAAATGTCACAGAATGCAGAATACTGTGGAATGTGGCTCTGAGTTGGATCTGTCCCAGCTGCAGGACTTGCATGACTCCGAGGGGCACTTTCCTGGCGTGGCTGAGGATTTCCAGCTCCATCCCTTGTGCAGCTCCATTACAAAACCACCAGATGCATGGTGCTATCACCTGTGCAAAGGATCAGGAGCTACTCTGAGCCATATTTGCTTCATATGCTGGGCTTTAATATAGAAATAATGAATGGGTTCACACAAACTTGCATGGGTTGGATATTTGTGAAGGATGAATCAGGATTATGGGCTGTCTGCCACATGTACCCTGAAGCTAAACATACAAAAAATAAATTCACTTAGAAGCTTAAATTGCCTCAATAAAGAATGTCTATTAAATTGATAGATTTAGATGTACTACTATTCCATGAGAAATGGGCATGTACCACGATCCCCATTCTGAAGGTAGTGAAGGAGAAATACGATACAAAGAGTGGCTGATGCTGTGTCTGTTCCCACCTGTTTGCTTGAGGCACCAGGGACCTGTTTTTCAGGGATGTGATGTACCCGTAGCTCCTAATTCATGGACAAACATGGAGCATCAGCAGCTGGAGTGGAGCAGGTTCATGTCTCAAAGAGAGCAGACAAACCTGCCATGTCTAGAAAAGAGAGCTTGTGAACACCTGCATCTTCCATAGCAGCATCTATCTTTGCATCCTAAGTTCACGGGTTTTACCACTTTTGTGTGACCATTCTTGAGACAGCTGATCAGAGACACTGCTGAATGCTCTAACAGTGTTGCACTGCCTGGACCTGACACCTGAGCTCCTCTTGGCTTCAGTAAACTCATTTTGTTGTCTGCTTTGTCTCCCAGGCTCGACTTAGCCCAGTCCTTGGGGCTGACTCAGCTCCAGGTGAAGACGTGGTACCAGAACCGTAGGATGAAGTGGAAGAAAATGGTGAGTGGGTGCTTGTCATTTCTCCAGGGCTCTTAAATGGCTCCTTGTAAAGAACAGAAGAAGCTGAACATAGTGGAGTGACTTGCGTCTATTTATACCAAATTTTGTTTTATTCCTGATCATTTCTCACAGAGATGGTCTCTTTTTTAAAAAGTGTTCATACTGCAGTACATGTGGGGGGCGAGAGGGGACTAAAGGCAGTAGGAGGAGGACAAAGCAAAGAGGTGAAAGAAATGAGAATAGAAGTGAGGGAAAAACCAAAATATCTCCTGCATTTTTCTGCATTCCTGTGATCTCAGTGCTTCTGAGATTGGTTTTGTGCATAGAAAAAAAAAAGACTGTGTTGCTCTATGGAAACAGAAAAGTTTTGAGAACTGATACTAATTTTTACTTCTCATATCTTTGTTTCACCTTTCACTTTTTCTCATCTTCATGGTCCTTTTCCAGTTAAAATGCTTTTTTATGAAGGTCAGCCACTCAATAAATGCTGGTGGGAACATGATGATGCTGTGACATATGGCTTAAAACTTTAAGTCTGTTTGGGAGACGAGGTGCAGTTCTAGGCTGTTCCTTTGGATGCATGTGGCACCTGCAGAAGTTACTGTCACTTCTAACAAATTTGGCATTGCCTTGGATATAGATCTTTGGCTGGAGTGTCTTGTTGCTGCAGGAATGGTGTGTAGAGAGAGGGAGTTAGACACAGGAACAGGATGTCTGAGACCAGCAGAGTTCAGAATCCTGACAGTTCATCTCTTTGCTCCAGGTGTTGAAGGGTGGACAGGAAGCTCCAACGAAGCCCAAAGGCCGTCCAAAGAAAAACTCCATTCCCACCTCGGAGGAGATCGAAGCAGAGGAGAAAATGAACAGCCAGGCTCAGAGTCAGCTGCAGGAGGGATCCCAAGCCTCTGAGGAGCCAAAATTAACAGAGGAAAATCCAGAAGTCCTGTTGGAGACAGAGAAGTCTCCAGAACATATACCAGAGCCTTCCTCAGAGGAGACTACACCATTAAGTTAAAAGGGAGAGAAAGGAGGGGAAAAGAAGGGAATAAAAAAAAAGATCAAAGAGAAAAATCAAAACCAAATATATATATATGTATATATATATATTTAAATATGTATGTAGTGGTGTGAGTGTACATATATATATAAATATATATATATGTATATGTATGTAGACCTTGTGCATAAGTCTGAAGATTGGTCACGTTGTGCCTTTGGGAACCAGCCATCATGGGCCAGGTGGAACAAAGACATCCCCTGGGAGTGGTGCCAGCCTGTTCCTCTGGCGGGAGCTGAGCTGTCCTGCAGGGAGGGCTGGAGCTGGGACATCTCCAGGGAAAACCACACCAGGACAGCTCCTGGAGAAGCCTGGGGCTCTCCCAGGCAGTGGGAGGCAGGTGTGTGGCTGTGCTGGAGGGTCAGTGTGTCCCATGGCTTTATCCTTGCCTTGTGTGGTGCCAATGGACAGAGAGCTTGGCCTGGGCTCAGATCAGGGATAGCCAAGGAATGGGAGCTCTGACAGCACCATTTCCTTGTGTAACCAGCACTTAATTCTGTTAGGGATGGGCCTGACTTAATCAATTTTAGGAAACAGTTCAGACCCCCAGGTTTGCTTTGGCCCAGTTAAGATCAAAGCTTCTGAAGGGAGATCCATACCTGGGTCAGCTCCAATCGCCCTCTTTGGGTGGTTTGGGTGCTGTGTCTGTGAATTTGCAGTGATGTGGGATAAAACTTGGAATGAAACGAGCGTTTGGATATAAGTCTGCTCCAAAAGCTTTTGGGTGCTTGGATCTGGGACTTTTGCTTTAGGCCCACTTCTAATTTTTATAGGGATTTTTTAAATGAACTGTTAAATGTTTTCAGGGTTTGGGGAAAATGGTGGATTTCCAAAGTTGCTGCAGGAAGCTGGCATTTGTTTAAGATGTGTGCCAGGAAAAGATGTGCATCATGTTTCATAGAGTCTTGTTAAGAGTGCATTTTGCCCAAAGGCTGCAAGAGATGTATTAAGATAACCTTTATTTTTTAATTAAAAATAAAATACATCAATTTAGCAGTTGTTGCTGTTGTTTCTCTTCCAGAGATTCTCATTTCAGAGTATCAGCAGAGGCTTTTCTGGAATAGGTTTTTCTATTCCAACAAAATCTGGAGGAAATAGACATCATCAGATTTTCCTTAACATCACTCTACAAAATGCTCTGTGTAAACTATTTGTAGCACTTGCTGAGGGAGGTGAGGGTGTTGTAAATGCCACCTTGTCACTGGGTGAATGTGTCAGAACAAGGGCACTATTTTCTATCACCTCCTCCAGTTTTGGACACATATTTAGTGGCTCTGTGAAGATGATTTCTGAATATTCCTTTTTTGGGATGGCAAGGATTCACACACAGTTGTCAAACGGTTTATCCAAGCAGTGTTGAGTGGGGAGAAAGGGATTCTTTTTCCCCCAGTTTCTTGCTCAGTGGTGTTTGGTAGTGTCTGATTCCAGCTCTGCATTACCTCTGGGTAATCAGGTGTCATAAAATAGATATTTGGGAAAGGATTTGTGCAGTTCATATCCATGGTTGAGTGTCTCAGCTTGGCAAGGCTTTTCCACGGCTGCCGTGCATCCAAACCTTGCTGTTGTTTGTTCTCCATCCAGCCAGTGACTGAAGATGCGCTTTAAAACTTGAAAACAGCTTTCAGAAAGGTAAAAATAAATAAGTCATATAAGCACAGTGGTGTTTGTGGGACATCCTGTCCTAGAACAGTGCTAATGTTAAAAAATGTGGGTTTCATCTTTCCTTGAAGAAATGAATCTGTATAATCCTGCCTGGGGACTGACTTTTGAAATGGCTTAATAGAGAAATACTTTCCAGGTAATCCTCTTTGTGCTGCTCACCGTGTATATTTACAGTTTGTGAGACAGAGATTACACTTCCATGTGGTGAAACTCCAGCCTTAGCCAAGCCAGGGAGGGACGTGCTCCACTCCCTGTGTGTCCAGTGCACAATAATCAGCTTGGAAAAGGCAGCCACGGTGTAAGGGCATCGACAGGTTTGCACCTAAATCTGAGCCAAATGTACCAGGACTGGGCAACACTCATTGGCAAGGAGCTTAGAAAATACCTGGGGTTTGTTACCTTTTAGCTCCTTTTTTATTGTGTCACAGTGAACTAGAAATGGGACGAAACATTTTCCTCTTGCTTTTTCTGTTGCAAACACAGGTTGTGAACTGCAAAGTGTTTCCTCTGCCATTAAATGCATCAAAATTTAGTTGTCTTTGAACATTTTTCTTTCACAGAGCCCAGACATGCTTGTGACAGCCCCAGTGAGAGGCAAAGGTGGTGAGGCAGGATTTTGCTGGAGCTGTGATGCAATGTCTGAGTTGTTGCACATTCTTTATCTGTGGATGTCTTTTTTTCCCTCTTCTTTCCAGAATTGTGCTGTAGTTCAACCGTATCTATTGGACTAGAAATAACATTTAATTTTAAAAGGCCTATGGCCTGTTTATACAGGAATTAGATTACATGGTCTATGAAATATGTAATCAGCCTCTATTGTTCTTGGATAGTGGCATCAGCACTCCTATCTCCACAGAAAATGCTTCCACAAGTCTCAAATGCCGCAGTACTCAGGGAGAGTGAAGAGAGCAACTGAGTGGAAATCATTTGTCTAATAATGAGTTTCACCATCAAGTTGCAAAAAAACTCTGCAAGAGTTTCTACTCAGTTGATTTGTAAGCCTGAACAGCTGATTAAATTGAATTTTGTGTGGTTCTAGAAACAAAAAGCTGACTGTCAGGGAAGGTATCAAAGATATTTCAGCTTGTCTGAGTCAAAGTGAAATATTTTGTAATGAATCTGTTCTCTTCCAGGCCACACAGGACAGGGCTTGGAGCACCTTGGGATTGTGGAAGATGTTCCTTCTCACGACTGGGACTGGATGAGGTCTAGGGCCCTCCCAACCCAAACCATCCTGGGACTTTTTTAACTTAAAAAAACAACCCAATCAGAGATGTACAGTAAACACAGCATTTGGAAACTGCAGTGTTTTCTTCAACCAAAAGGTTTTTCATAAAATGGATAATGCATTTGCTGGGGTTTTTGCAGTTGTTACCTACTGCATTTGTCCAATTTGAAGAATCTAAGCATTAGATTTACATAATGGGATGGGGAAATGAATGTAGAAACAGGAAAAAGCATCACTTTCTAGCCCTGAGATAGGAAACGGTGTGTGAGGTTTCTCTGCTGTTTAATGAAACTGATAAATATGAGAATTCAAAATTTACAAGAATTTTAATGATAGGTTTCTGAGTACCAAGGAAAGCAAAGTTGGCCATTTTCTAACAAAGTGTAAAGTTTTACATAATGGCATTTCCCACTTCCCAGATGAAAATAATTGTTTCTGACTCAGCCCCACTTTACAGTGGGAACAGTTCCAGTGATTTTTAAATATTTTTTCCCCCTCATTAATCCCATTCTAATAATTTATGAGTCAGTCTGGGTAAAAATGCAATTCTCTTGCTGTCTGGGCTAGTTTTTCATGAGTCCACAAGACAAAGAAGATGTTTTTATTCCTCTTTTGGCTGAGTAGCAATCTTAACATCTTATTTTTCAACACGATTATTTAAGTCCAGAATTAGCTCTTGAAATGCTCTCTGCTGCTTCTCACTCTGAATTACTTTCACTGACAATCCTTTGAGTGATCATGGAAAGCACATTCAGAATGTTTTGGATGGAGGGAGAACAGCAGGGAAGAAATGGGGAAACCCATTTACAGCTGCAACTAGAGTAAAATTACAAATTCTAGTGGAACTAAACATAGGGATTCCAGCTGCTGTTGGGAGGCAAGTGCTCCTCTGCCTCTTGCTTTAAGGATTTTTTTCTGCTTTGGGCTGATTTTTGGTCTTGTCACTGAAATACCAAGAATTGAGTGACTCTTCCGCTGACTTTGGGTGAACTGGGTTGAGTTTGAAAGCTGGGCTGGATTTAGCCCTTCAGAGGAGCTGTGGGCTGAGGGTTGTGTTTGCCTTCTGCTCCTACGGGCCAGGAAAAGCAACAGATTTCAGGCACCTGAGGAGCAGCACAAGGAGCAGCTCCCTGGGCAATCCTCAGCCCAGTGACAGTGACCCCCCTTTGGGCCAGCCCTGGGCTGATTCCATCCCTGTAAAGCCTCTCAGGATCTGCTGCCCCTGGGCTGCTGGTTGCTCATCCCAGAAACCTGACCTGAGACAGGAACCCTTGGGACTGAGCCCTGATGATGCTCGGGGTGTTTGGCTTCCAGTCCTGACAGAAAGGAACAAGCCCCGATGTCAAAATCCCAACTCCCCTACAGGGATGGGAAGTGCTCATATCCGGAGCTCTGGCTGGGACTCACCTTTTATTGTACCCACTGCTGAGATAATACTGCAAAGCACTGAGCTCATCCTACTGGATGGTTTCCCCAGGTCCCAGCAAGGATAAATAAGGAAAGAAAAAAATCTTTATTCATTTAACTTCAGGCCAGTACAAAGAACTTTGGTGTTTGAGAGGGTTTTCAGTTTTCCCCTCTCAATCATCTTTCTTCAGCAGCAAAGTGGAAAAGGCCAGTACACAAGAATGGACTGGAAAAAAGAGGAGAGAAGAAGTAGTTGAAAGAAAACACAAAGGGGAAGAGCTTAACTGCATCAACCTACATGAAAAACAAAACTAGAAAGAAAAATAATCATGGTTAAAAAGTCAACCTCTATTTTTTGGACAGATGAAGCATTACTTCTGTAGAGAGATATTTTTCTGTGGTTTAGCTACATGTGCAAGGATGATTAATGCTTTTCATGTTTCCTTTTATGCACTATAAATTAAAATATAGCTGTGTAAAGAACAGTTCTTGGATTAGACTTCAGCTGTGATACAGGATTTGGGCCCACATCTCAACAAAGGCAGAGGTTTGGTGAAGTCTGGATCATGTAGAATCTTACATGGTGGGCATGAATATCCTGTAAGAACCTCATTCCTCTTTCTTCCCAAGGTCTGGTACTGCCAGGAAGGATTTACCAGGTTTTATTGTAAACTGAAGTGGTTTGGGGGCATTACTTTGGAGCACAGTAGCTTTCCATTATTATATTGTAGCTGC